TTCTCCATTCTCCTCTCGGGATCCTGGGCACGCACGCACACGCGCCCGGCGTGAGAGCCAAGCCACTGGGTCCGAGACGCGAACCACGGTCAACTATGTGGGAGTCCAGCGACATAGCCATTACGCTAACTGCTGGTTCCCTTTTTTTTTTTTTTTTTTTAAAGGATTTTGCCATTGAGTGCATGTGCTCCCCAGAGATAGACAGAAGGAAAGCGAGACATCACACCCCCACCCCAAGAGGATGGCCATTCTCTTAGAATCTTGAGCAAGCATGCACATGTGCCTGGTGTGATTGTAAAGCCACCAGGTCTGGGACTTGAACTGCGGTTGGCCACGTGGGAATCCAGCAGCCCATCACACCACCTGCTGGTTCTTCCTTGCACCTTCTTTATCTGCAGCAAACTCTGAAACTTCTCTGTCTCTGTGTCTTAACTTGCCAGAGAGAGGAAGAGGAAGAAGGCAGCCCTGTGGGGCACTGTCATGCTACAACCCCCTCTCCTTCATCTCTCTGTCCTCTCCAAATGTGGGGCATTCGCACATGCACTCGGCATGTTTTTCTTTTTTTTTTTTTTTATGTTTTTTTATTTTATTATCATCATAATCTTCTTTCTATTACACTAGATTACATATAACTTTACATTGACTTCCATTGCTTTTTCAAAAGGGAATGCCATGCATGTCAGTCAATACAGAGATATCAATCTCCCCGCTTTATCATTCAATATCTTTTCCATGCTTTTCCCAATAATTATTATTATATTTTTTTAGACAGTCAATCACTATTTCTCGTTTTGCTTATTAAAAAGACTTCACCCATCATGAAATATTTCCCAGACCAGTTCAGTTGAGAATACTATACATGTCATCATCAACAGGTAATAAACCATATCTATTTCTCATTAACATCCTGCCTCTCTATTGTTCACTGCTGTCTTTATCCTCTTCTCTCTCCTTTTTTTTTTTATACTTTGTTTTTTATTATAAATTTTTTTTTCTCATCCCAACACACATATGAATTTTCCATCCAAAATACACTGTGCATTGGCTCAATCGAGCACATCAACATATATGTTCTCAGCAAATGATTTCCCAATTTTTGTGTCCTGCATACCTTGCCTTTTGTTTTGCCATCCTAGATTCCCCATCCCCACCCTCTGCCATGTCCCATCTTCCTCCTCCATTGTCCCTGACATTCATGATTGCCCTCAATGGCTTCCGCCCCCCCCATTCAATTGTTCTACCAATGAACTCAATTTGTCTAAATATATCCACTAGCTAGCACAGCTGACATATCCTTACACATGTATCCAAATCTGATCCTAGGCATAAACCCCAGGGAGTAGAATGCACATACTATAAAGTAGTCCCCAGTTGTGTCCATACACCTCTCTTCAGTCATCAAATGTGCATTTTTTTTTCCTCCTGCTTATTATTATTTATTTTTATATTAAATTATATTGCCTAACACTCATTCCCTGAGTATCATCACAACACACCAAGTGTAGTTTCCCATCTAGGATAAACTGCATAGTGTCTCAATCAAGCATGTCGTCACCAATACTGTTCCATTTCTACTTTCATACATATAAATATGTTTTTTATCCTATGTTTGACCCTCAGCCCTTTCCCCCTCTCCCAATTACTCTATCTCTTCTATGGACAGCTATCCTCCAGAGGGGTCATTGAAAATGCGATACCTGCGAGTAGAGGGAGAGGGGCCAGGAGTCCAAAGTTTTTAACAATAGGGAAAATAGATTCCATTCAAGGTTGGATCAAGTGTGGGTCTCGTGCAGTTCCGCAACTGTAGGTGAGTCTCCATGGAATACAGTCTCCGGAAGGCAGTTCTGGCAAGCAGAGTTGACCATCAGTTGATGCGGCACAGCAGCCATCTTGTGGTTAGCAGGA